AATTCTTGTTCAAGTGATTTAATCTTTTGCAAGAAAGAAGATTGCTGTAATCTTTGTTCTGTAGTTAGAAAACTAATTTCTTTTTGTAAGAAATTAATTTTTTTTCTTTGAAATTAACTAGATCTTTGATTTGATCTAATTCTGTGGTGTAAGGTTCTGTAATAAACTCAAAAATAATCAGTTGATCATTTAGGGTTGTATGAATGCCAATAGAGTCAATCTTAGTTATTGGCATTAATAAACACAGAAATGGTGTCCCTAAAATTATTGCTTGAGAATATTTTTTATTAGGACAAAGGATGTGGGTAAACGCAATCCTTGATTGCAAATAAGCACTTCTGGAAGTTTTTACCTAATGTACAAAGAATTACCACTTGCACTGGTGAGTGATTGAGTTGTTTTCTGGAAATATTTGGTAGGAATTAATCCTTCCTGAATACAATTCATATAAGCACCACTGTCTACAAGAGCAATGGCGACTTTTATTATAAATTCTAGTTTATAATAAAAGTAATTTTGATATACCATTTCTGGAAAGTAACTTTGTTAATAAGGTTCAAGTATGCTAAAGATGCATCTTGAATAGTACTGGATTCAGTTACTTCAAATTTTTCTGTATTTTTGGAACTAACTTGTTCATTGATTCTTTTAAGATCTGTACTAACAGCAATATTTCCTGTTTGTAAATGCTTTATTTCAACTTTTGAAGCGTTTAATTCCATTTTAAGATCCTGGATTGTTATGGGTTTTTCTTCAGAGGTATTTTGAATTCTTTTATATACTTCTTTCATACTGTAATGCTTTGAAGGTAAAATTTCTTCTTTTTTGTGCTGTTGGTAGCATAGTTCAAGAAATTTTAATTTCATTTCTGGATCTGTGAGAACATTGATACTAGGACTACTAGTTTCAAGTCCATTCATCTCAACTATTGCTTTCCAATAATTGGCTTCTTCTGTTATTTGATTAATTTGAGGTTTGCAGGAACAAATTTTCGGAGGGGATTCAGGATCAATATCAAAAGATGATGAATATAGTATTGCAATACCATCATCTGAAGTAGAGTCTGAATCAGAGTCTTCATAAAGCATCTGAAGAATTTGTTGCTAAATTTCATCATCTAAAGCTAATTCATTTAATTTTTGTTGCATCTTAGCTTTGCAACGATTAGCATAGTGACCAGTTCGGCTACACTTGTAACATTTAACTGTAGATTTATCTTTTTGTGGATAAGATTTTTTTTTTTTTTGCCTTTACTTCTAGAAGGCTAGAGTTGCGGAATAGTCTATTTATGATATTTATTTTTTCTGGATTTCTTGGAATAATTTTTTGATGATTTTCCAAATTTATGTTTTTTACGTTTATGTTTGGATAGATATTGGATTTTAGTTTCATAGGAAAATTGTTCAAAAAATTCACCTAATTCATTATGACTTTGCTTTTTCATTTGATTCCGTAATTTCAGATCATTGCAAAGAGCAAGACCTTCTTCGGTAACAATTTTTATGAGTTGACCACAAGTATATTCTAAATATGGAATAGACATTTTACTATGCTTATCCCTCAGTTTTTTTCCGATTCTTTCAGCAAAGAGAGTGGGAAGGCCATCAATGAATTTGGCTTTCCAGTGTTCACTGTTAGCGTCAGATCTTCTGACAACTCTCATCATGAACACATCTTTATACCATCAAAAATGGGATAAATAATGACATCTTAAATTCTGTAAAAGTTCTCTACTCCTACCTTCTAAACCATCAGCAGAAGCTAAAATGATTTAAAATTGTATTGATAAGAGTATGAACATCGTCCTGTTCAGATTGAACAATACCTGTTAAAGGATCTGTAATTCTTTTAAAGGCTATTAAGATTTCTGTTTGTTGTGTTTCTGTGATAATGTTATCCCACCATCCTTTCAGGATGCTGGTAAAACCATTGACCAGAAATCTGGCGATTTCATGATCATCATTTTCATTCTGTTTGCAAATTGTTGAATACATAGTCATTTGATGCAACAATTCAAATATCTGCATTCATAAATGATTTTTCCACGATAGGATTTCTGTGTTTGTAAAAGATATTCTTCATAAAGAAGATCCATAGGAGTGCTTCCAGGGTAATAATATCTCGTTGGCGCAGTCCTAGTAGAATTTCTAGAAGTTTCTCCATGATGAACTTTATTTATGGAGGTTGGATTTTCCTGAATTTTTTTTTCAATTTCTGTAATTTGAAAAAGTGTTAAATTTTCTTCATTTGGATTATGCTGTCTGGATAACATATTAACAGAAGAAGATTCTCTAATTGTAAGACTTTTAATCTTATCAACAAGAGTATCCATGAATTCTATATCTTTCTTAGTAGTAGATAACTTAAATTTAGTTACTTCTAAAGGAGGTTTAATTGTTGCAGGAATAACTTCAGTTTTAACTTTAGATTTTGGCCGTAAGTGACAACTGTTTTTAATATGATTAACAGTTTCTTCAATTCTGGTGGGTTGTTTGCCAGTTGTTTGGCAAAACAGATTTTTATAATTATGCTGTTTGAATATAGGTACCATATCCTGAATGAGAATAGGATCCCTATTTTGTGATTTGTGTGGAATTTCCATATAAGCAACAATGGCTAAAGGTTTGGTATTACTGCTTAATGGTTGTAATTCCAGGGGTTGGGTTGGTGGATGGACAAAAGTAAAACTTTGACCATCGGTGGTGTCCCAAGTTTTCTGCATATTCTCAATGACATTAATCTGAGATTCTGTAGGAGTGATATTTTCAACATACCACCAAGGAAAAGACTGTAATTTTTGACGTTGTTCTAAATGAACATAATACTGGTTTTTACATTGTTCTAACTAGAGAGGGGTATGGTAACTAAAATACCATTCTCTAAATGTTCTGTATTTTTCTTTCTGTAGATCCTGATTTAAGGCTTTTCTAATTTTACGTCCTAGTGTAAAATCCATTAGATTTCAAAATTCATATCACTGGTTGTAGGGCTATAAGGCCTTTTGGATTCATAAATACCATGTGGTATTTGATTCTCTGAAAATTGAACTCCCTGAACTATAGGGTCAGCTGTAGGGTCAGGTTGTTGTGTATCACTTGGAGGTCTGGAGGTTGGTCTTGAAGACATTCCTTGTAAGACGAACTCAGCTGGTTCAGATAATGATTGTCTGGAAGCCTCAGGTAAATCTACTCTATAAGATGGAGTAGTTCTATAACTGGTACTAGACATAGTTCCGGATAAAGACCTTTGTGGCCTTTTAAAGGTAAGGTAAACATTTCCTCCTTGTGTCTGGATTACTTCATCCAATGTTTGTTGGATAATTGGCCGAGGTGGAACAGCTTGGTTTATCTGCCATCTATCTGGAAATTTTATTTCTTGCCACGGTATCATTTTTGGCACTGCAACTTGGCTACTGAAAAGGTTGGTGTCTATCAGGACTGTATGTCCTAACTCACTCTGTTTTCTGATATAAGGATTTAAAGTTGTTAAAACTTTAAGATAAATTCTGGAAATTACCGCAAAGGGTGGAGATCCTGGAAGATATTCATAACCATTGGACAACACTCTAAGGGTGTGTTTGATTGGACGGACAGGAAAAAGGGGGATTAGAATCCATCGGACTTGAGTCCTGGGACTGTGAATCCCCCGGACTATTTGGTCGGATTGGATATGTATCCTGTGTTTGTTTTTTCATGGGATTAGATGTCTGGATAGAACTATTTTCAGTGAATCCAATGTTTGGTTGGACGGACTGGATAGGATAAATGAACAAAAGACTATTTTGCCCTTTTTCAATTGTTTACTAAGTAATAGTAATATTAAACATATCTTTAATATTTTAATTATTTTTAATTAAATAAATTTGTTTTTTTAAATTAAATTAAATAAATAAATAAAATATCAATAAAATTTGTTTTAAATCATTACTGTATAACAAATCATTATTTGATTGACGAACAAAACTTTACTATGTTTGTTTATTTACACAATTAAATAATTTACTGTGTTTGTTTATTTACACCTCATTTTTTATTTGAATTCATTAAATATTGAGCTTAAAG